AGCTTTATTCATATATATGGCCTTTGTCTTCTTCATATGTCAACAGATCACAGCTGAATGTAGGGTCGCTGTTATCATTCAAATGCTGGGATTAGGCATAAATTAATGCTGGTATCTTTTAATTTTGAAATATATAACATTGGTATTGTAAAATGGTACAACGGTATTGGTATTGAATGATGCAACATTTAAATTTGGTATTTAAATTTGACCTTGACTGCTCTATTTGCTCCTTGCCACCCATAATCCCTGAAGGAATGTAACATCAGATTCTAGTGTTATCGTCTATTAATGGAATTTAGGTTTTTATTTAAACATTCTCAAGTTAGTATTCGTAATAATCAAGCACTTCATTTAAGATAAATTTTTTAAAACTCTAAGTAATCAAAATAAAAACATTTTAACCAACCCTGGCATCTCTTTTCCTCTTATATCCCATAGAGTTTATCATTTCCTTTCAGTGAAGCTGCCGGTTATGATTTTTCCCTGTGTTTACTTCTGACACTGAAGATCAAAAAACAAAAACAAAAACAAACAAAAGGACTCCAGTGACTCATCTTCTACGGATCTACTGCCATGGTTGGCTATGATGCCTGAACCCGCTGTTTACAAGGCACATTAGTGTCTACAGCTCTTGACTTCATGGTTTGCAAAGCATTTTAGTTCAGACTGAGTTACTTGTTCATAGCAACCGATTTTCTGTTGTGTGGGTATCTATTTGACAGGGAAAACTCCATAATACAGCTGTCTTCTGTGAGCATGGTAGTGGTCACCTGCTTGTGCTTTGAGAGGGACTCAGTTTCTGAACCTAAAGTCAAAGCGGCATCAGAGAGGATGATACCCACTTTCCACCAAACAGTTCAAAAGTTTCATTTATTTTTCCTATCGGACAATTCTGTTTTGCTTTAACAATCCTGACACTATTGCTGTTTCAGATCCTGCATGCCTGCAAATGCTTCATCCATGAATATTTACACACACTGTAAATGTGATAGGCGTGGAGACAGATCTGGGCTAAGTGCAATACCTATGAGATTCATCTGCATGCTTATAGTTAGCTAGAAGAACTAAGTCCAAGAGATATGCTATGTAGCCTGGCCAAAATAGTTAATAAAAGCCTTGTATAAGAGTTTTCATTACAAAAGTGGTAAGTTTTAGATAATACATTTGATAATTAGCTGTACTTAACAATTTCAAAGAGTATATAAAGTTTTAGCATTATGTTATACCTGACAGATACCTATAACTTTATGTGTCAGTTGAACATATTAAATAAATGTGAAAAAATTGACCTGATAAATGAATAAACTAATACTTAGGAACCAAGGAGTCAAGCAGGGAGATAACCAGAGAACAGTAAGAGAGTGGCAGTCCTGAGAGTGAGGGCCTCTTTGTGTTTTGTGTCAAAGAAGATGCCCTTATGGCTTTACACCAGTTCCATATCCCTAGTGCCAAAATACATGAGGGGTCTGAGATTTTATCCTAACTGTACTCTAAGAAGTTAGTCTGCTGCAGTTTCATAGATGCTCACAGAAGGCAAAAGGACTCCTGCCTCAGAGACAAAGTATCCAGGAACATCAAGGAGCCCGAATTTCACGTTGGAGTTAGAGCCTCTTGTCAAACTCATCTGCTCTGTGATAGCGAGCAATCCAAGAGGATGTAGTGTACTATGTGGATTTATATCACAGCTTGGAAATCTGAAGCTTAAAACAATCTAGGTATTTTATAATGAAGTACAAGAAACCAAAAGTCCTAGATTTAAGACATCATATTTTATTATACTCATCAGTAAGCATGACAAAAACTAACCAACCAACAAAAACTAACCAACTAACAAAAAACAAAACAAAAGCCCCTATTCTCTGCTCTTGAAGGAAATGCCACCTATATCTTTCAAGGCTGTGCATTTGGAATTCTGGGAAAAAAGCGCGAGTGACTCTGATTGTAAAATGTACATAGTCATGAGAGATGCACAGAGAGTTAACTACTGACACAATATTTCATATGGTCAAACAAAGCAGTATTGATAAAGCACTCAGTCCAGGTGAGGGAGCACAGAAGGCACTCGATAAATGTTAGTTCATGGCTTATGCCTTTTTACCACGCTGAAGCATGGAAGCACATCTTTGACCCACAGCTGGAGGGTTAATTGAAGGTAGCAACTGCAATTTGTAGCTCCTACGATGAAAAATATTTTCAGATGGTTTCTGACTCCTGTATATCTGCAGATGAATCTAATCAAAGTCAACTCATGCTTTCTACTGGCCGCTTCTGGATTCATATAAATTGCTGACGGTCTCCACTTCAACCCCAAGTCAACATAGATACAGCATTAATCCTTAGCAAGGCAGGTCATGGTTTTCAAGGTTTGCTGATGCAGATCTAGCCACCAGAGCAGCTGAGAGACTACTGGTCAATCTATTTATGTTCCATATCCTTTCCCCACATTTCTTGTGTGGAATAGTGTTGTCTCCTACTGCCTGTTTTTCCCTAGTTCCTTTGTTAACCAGTTTCTTGTTGGGTTTGGCTAGTGAGAGAACAAGAGATGAGAACAAGGAAGTAGGACCCGGGACATTTCTCTCACCCCAAACAGTCGAATTTGGGTAGATTTCTGACCATAGTTGCATCTTCTAGTGATTTTAGCTTTTCCAGGCAGCACCTCATGTTACGGTTCTACATTCTATGCACACACCATCACTTGTGCTATTAACACATCTCTACCATTTTTTCCAGACCCACAGGTGGCAGTATCTTCTTGCTGTTACCTGTGTTGCTTTCTCAGTTCCACACTTGTACTTTTTCCCTTAGAACTGATGCAGATTGGTTTTTGACTGGTCATACACTATAACACTTGGACACCTGTGTATATTCCAAGTGGTATCTTTCTCCTGGTGTCCTCTAAGATAGTCCAACAGAGTCACCAAGATTCCACTTTGAATTTTTTATCACTCTGGTAGTCATTTGGTTGTAATAAAATAGAGCAGATTTAGGCTAGCTTCAGTAAAGGGTATATTGCAAAGGTTTTAGGGACTTCAACAAAATAGGAGGGGAAACATGCTGTTGATATACCTTACCTGCTCTAGTATTTGACTTTCATAAGAGCATAGATTCAATCTGGCCCCTTGGGACTGATTTTGAGCAAGGGAGCCAAATCAAGAAAATCCTTCAGCCTCAGAATTTTATTACTTTTTAGCTGAGTGGTAAGAAGGAGCCAGTCTGAAATGGGAGCTGTTTACAGTGTCATCAAAAGATAGTCCAGGAAGACCCAACTTGTGGATAAAATCATCTGCATTTTAATAAAATAAGCACTCCCTGATGACTAGCATAGCATTTAGAAACATTCATCAACAGAAACAGAAGCGTTAGTGTGATAGTAGAGGCTGCAGAAATCCAAGAAGAGAGACAGTGACTAAGAAAGTCTGAAATAGATGGGTATGCACTAACCCTGGGCACATTCTATATGCTTTAATTAGATGTATTTTTTCCTCTGCTGGACTTTTTTATTTTAGTTTGTCTTTGCCTTGGAAAAATGTGATGCAAAATATGCAGCAAAACAACATGGTTGCCACAGGCAAAAGTACTTAATCAAAATTCAAGAAATAATTATACATGATATTTTTGTGCCTAGTAAACGTATAGAGTATTAAGCCAATCTTTACTGTTTAGCATTGTTTTAAATGGTATATTTCAGCATCATTAAGCCTATCAGCCACTTAGCTAGCTGTAGCCATACTTTGTTCATATTCTTTTGATGAAAAAATATTGTCACTTGGTAGATTTAAAAAAAAAATACTTTGCCAGATGCAGCAAATGTAGCATGTTCTTTTACAATAGATGCATAAATGAGATTTCACATAAAAATTACTAACATTTAGATCTACCTAAGTACTATATACTTGACAGTGTTGATTTGGCCATAGTGAATTTGTAGGTCTTTACAAACTAGAATTCTACAAACTAAATTTTGTCCTCCACATCCACATTCATATGTTGAAGCTGTAACTCTTTAATACAACTATTTGGAAATGGGACCTGTACAGACATAAATAAGGTAAAATAAGGATAGAATGGTAGAACTCTGATCTGATTGCATGAACATTATTTAAAAAGTCTTTCTCTCCCAACCCCTTCTTCCCCTCCTTCTCCTTCCCTCTCTTTTTTCCTCTCCATTCCCCTATATCAGCTATCATCTGGGAATCCCTTGGGTGGAGGCCATGTGCAAGCCAGGAAGAGGGCCCTCGACAGAGCCCAGCCATGCTGACTGTGCGATGGCAGCTGGAACTGAACAGTAAGTAGCTTACGCTGACACTGATGCATCTTTTCTTAATTAAATGGCAAGCCAGGGGTGTGAAGTACGGGGATATCTGGAAGTGGGCTTGACACAGACTGATAATTCGGATGGGACTGAATTTGACAAAACAAACATTTGTTTACACATGAATGACATCCCCCACTTTTTTTGAAAGAAAATGATTGCCCAAATCTAAAATGATTTTCTTTCCCCCAAATTATTATATAGTATATTTTTGGCAAAAATAATTTAGTTTATTAAAACACATAAGACTGTGCTGAAATGCAACCATTTTAACATTAACTCTAGATTAAAGGAATCACATATTTTTAAACAGATTGAATGCTAAATGGAGAGCAACTTGTGAACATATCTGTTACTTAGGATTTTTTTCTTCTAATCGAATTCATTTTAGCTTCACCACAGCCAAGTAGTATTAGTAATGGCTGTCATCCAGGGTCTAGAAATAGCATCATTCCATTGAAATGTATGGTATAATTCCAGTCTTTAAAATTGAAATCTACATGTACAAATTTCATTTTCTAAGCTTGTGAAGAATGGTGCAACAGTGAGGTGACTCTTTTTAGGTGAAAAAACAGTTTAACATTAACCAGCAGTAAACTTTTTTATCATAATGTTTATTTTGAGTGATCAAAGATTTACCTCATGACCGGAGCCGCGGGAGACAGGAGGCCAGACTCGAGCAGGATCAGCTCTCAAACTTTATTACGTACAGCGAACCGGACCTGACAAGGTCCGCCACCCTCGGTGTTGATTCCTCTTCCGCCGTTGGGGGCAGGAACAACCTCTTATAAGGGGAAGCAGTATCCAATCACAGAGAAGTGCGTCTAACAAGCTGATAGGCTAGCGTCACGGGTAACTGGGCAGATATGACAATTTGGCGGGCTTGTTCAGGCCGGGAAGAACCCGGAAGCAGGAAATGGGCGCCATCATAGGCGGCTTCCCACATCTCCCCCTTTTTTATTTATTAAAATAGGATGGTCTGTGGGTCCCTCCAAGGTGTCTATGACCTTGTTGCTGTTAGACACCTAGGAGTGGGCCTACCTTGTAGGCCGAGGCATGAGAGAATGTAGAGGTCTATACCCTGCTGTGCATCACCCTGTTTTGTGCATATCCTTGCGCCAGGACCATGCTCAAGGTGAGTGGTTCATTTTTTCGCAGGGCCAGGCTTTTGTGAACCGAACCTGGATGCATATAGACATTCATTCCTGCCTTCCTCCCAACCTTTGAGGCGGATGGCACTGCAGTACCCTTGGTCTCGCATCTCAATGCCCATAATTTGGCTCCAGGAGGGACCCCTGGCCTTACAGGCCATGTATATCTGAGTGGAGCCTGTCTTAGGTTGACCGGGAGGGCTTTTCCCGTCTTACCCGTCATTGGCTTGCCCACTCAGCTCTTATAGCTGATGTTCTGCAATGTGAAGGAGATATGCGGCGGCCTGCTGGCCTGATGGGCCACCTGCTGCCATTTGCATGGCTGCCATAGCTGTGATCTTAACCTGCTGCTGAGTTTGTATGAGGCGATCTAACAAGCATTTAATAACCACAAGCCCTACTAGGATAGCCATGGCAATTAGGATCCAAAAAGAGGTAATCGTGGGACAGAAGGAAGAGAAATGGAGGGTCGACCGGAGTTAAGCGGGTGGGTCATAATCAAGGACTGTTTGATTGATGGTGTAAACCCTGGGTGAGGCGGGCGAGGCCGCCGAAAAAGGTGCCAATGTGGGCAGGTGGTGCCAAGGACCCCAAAGATATTGTGGTGGTTCTGTGGAATCTGAGCATATCACAGGGGTGATTAATAGGAACCCACAGAATAGAAAAAGCTCCAAACCAGACATTTTAGTTTGTAGATGGTCTCGGGCGCTGAGCGTCGGTCCCAGAAGGGTCGAGTTGACTTGTGTCCGCGGGCTTATCTTCCTGTGCTTTATCAGGAACTGGTGGGGAGTTTACTGCTCGCGTCAATCTTTCCGGGACCCACAGCGGTTCGCAGCCTGGTTCCTGTGGGAAGACACAAACCACACCTCGGGTCCAACTAACCACTGGATCCGGGCCCATCCATTGTCCTGTAAGGACATCTTTCCATCTCACCAGCCCTTTGTCGGCCGGGGACGGGTTATTGTGCTCCATGGCAGGGGAATGATATGGTAAAGAGTGCCAATGATATTCTTCCTTTGGGCGTTAGGCCGTGGCCTATCCCCTCTTTTTGCTTTTGTAAGACACCCTTGAGTGTCCGATGTGCCCGTTCAATGATGCCTTGTCCTTGAGGGTTATATGGAATGCCATGCTTAAGGACAACATCCATTTGTTGACAGAATGTTACAAAAGTTTTGCTGGTGTAAGCAGGACCATTGTCTGTTTTTAATATATTGGGCTTTCCCCAAGCAGCCCAGGCTGCAAGACAATGATTAATAGCATGGGTGGCCCTTTCTCCCTTTCCAGCCAGCCGTCTCCAGGCCTGGAGGCCACAGCGGCTAATTTGTTCATAAACCTGGCGAGGGTATTGAGTTTGATCTTCCTCAAAGGTTCCTCGCCCTAATAGCATATCCCTGTTCCACTCTCTCTGGTTATTTTCCCTGTTGGCTGCCGCCTGCTCTACACAGAATCCGGGGGAGAGGCAGGCGCGTGCCAGCTGGGTCCAATCTCCAGGAGTTAAAAGCAGACCTGCCAATGCCTCTAAAAGCGCCATGGTAAATGGCGCATTGGGCCCATAAGCTGAAACTACGTCCTTGATAGCTTTAAGTTGTTTAATTTCTAAGGGCTCATAATATCCTCCTCCTCCCCTGCCTCCTACTTGTACCGGGAATGCATGGAGACCGGAACACTCAAAGGGAAGCCTCGACCATACCCTCTGGTGGAAGGAACGTCCTCCTCCCTCCCCAGATGGGGGCGCAGAAGGCAACCCAGGAAGTAGCTCTCCCTCTAACCAGGGCGGTGCCATAGGTTGTGGTGGCAGCCCAGGGAGCAACTCCTCTTCCGGCCACGGCGGTGCAGTGGGGCCTGGAGCCCTGAAGGGAGCGACCATGGGTCGCGAACTTGCCAAAGGGCGGAAGGGCTTAGTGGGGCCTGGCGCCCTGAAGGGGGTGATCGTGGGTGTTTGGTTCCCCTTTTTATCTTCCCGAGCCCTGAATTCCTCTTTAAGCTGTGCAGGAGGGTCCTGTTTAGCGAAGACAACCTCCTCTTCTGAACCTTCCGAATCAGAATCAGAATTAGAGCCCTGAGGGTCCTCCGGAGACCCACAATCGGCAGTGGCTCCGGGCTCCTCTGAGCATTCCGATCGAGCTCTATCAAAAGCCTGTCGGGCTGTATTAGCGAAGCGAAAGCAAAACAGATGCAAAGGGAAAAGAAAAGAAAAAAAAAAAACCAGCGTCCACTCGTGTGGCGCTCAAAATCTGTTAGGTGCGTCCACCCAACCCAGGTGACCCAGTACTCACCTGTCCCGGGAACCGCTGTATCTCACGTAGCTGATCAGGGTGAAGAGAAGAGGCGCTCGCGGCCTTCCGTTGTTATTGGGCCAGGTCCTCCGTCGTACCGCAGGCGACAGCAATCGCACCTCCCGGCCGAAGAGGCACGTCGCTGAGTCTTTTATTCCCCGTACGGGGGCCACCAGATGACCGGAGCCGCGGGAGACAGGAGGCCAGACTCGAGCAGGATCAGCTCTCAAACTTTATTACATACAGCGAACCGGACCTGACAAGGTCCGCCACCCTCAGTGTTGATTCCTCTTCCGCCGTTGGGGGCAGGAACAACCTCTTATAAGGGGAAGCAGTATCCAATCACAGAGAAGTGCGTCTAACAAGCTGATAGGCTAGCGTCACGGGTAACTGGGCAGATATGACAATTTGGCGGGCTTGTTCAGGCCGGGAAGAACCCGGAAGCAGGAAATGGGCGCCATCATAGGCGGCTTCCCACATCTCCCCCTTTTTTATTTATTAAAATAGGATGGTCTGTGGGTCCCTCCAAGGTGTCTATGACCTTGTTGCTGTTAGACACCTAGGAGTGGGCCTACCTTGTAGGCCGAGGCATGAGAGAATGTAGAGGTCTATACCCTGCTGTGCATCACCCTGTTTTGTGCATATCCTTGCGCCAGGACCATGCTCAAGGTGAGTGGTTCATTTTTTCGCAGGGCCAGGCTTTTGTGAACCGAACCTGGATGCATATAGACATTCATTCCTGCCTTCCTCCCAACCTTTGAGGCGGATGGCACTGCAGTACCCTTGGTCTCGCATCTCAATGCCCATAATTTGGCTCCAGGAGGGACCCCTGGCCTTACAGGCCATGTATATCTGAGTGGAGCCTGTCTTAGGTTGACCGGGAGGGCTTTTCCCGTCTTACCCGTCATTGGCTTGCCCACTCAGCTCTTATAGCTGATGTTCTGCAATGTGAAGGAGATATGCGGCGGCCTGCTGGCCTGATGGGCCACCTGCTGCCATTTGCATGGCTGCCATAGCTGTGATCTTAACCTGCTGCTGAGTTTGTATGAGGCGATCTAACAAGCATTTAATAACCACAAGCCCTACTAGGATAGCCATGGCAATTAGGATCCAAAAAGAGGTAATCGTGGGACAGAAGGAAGAGAAATGGAGGGTCGACCGGAGTTAAGCGGGTGGGTCATAATCAAGGACTGTTTGATTGATGGTGTAAACCCTGGGTGAGGCGGGCGAGGCCGCCGAAAAAGGTGCCAATGTGGGCAGGTGGTGCCAAGGACCCCAAAGATATTGTGGTGGTTCTGTGGAATCTGAGCATATCACAGGGGTGATTAATAGGAACCCACAGAATAGAAAAAGCTCCAAACCAGACATTTTAGTTTGTAGATGGTCTCGGGCGCTGAGCGTCGGTCCCAGAAGGGTCGAGTTGACTTGTGTCCGCGGGCTTATCTTCCTGTGCTTTATCAGGAACTGGTGGGGAGTTTACTGCTCGCGTCAATCTTTCCGGGACCCACAGCGGTTCGCAGCCTGGTTCCTGTGGGAAGACACAAACCACACCTCGGGTCCAACTAACCACTGGATCCGGGCCCATCCATTGTCCTGTAAGGACATCTTTCCATCTCACCAGCCCTTTGTCGGCCGGGGACGGGTTATTGTGCTCCATGGCAGGGGAATGATATGGTAAAGAGTGCCAATGATATTCTTCCTTTGGGCGTTAGGCCGTGGCCTATCCCCTCTTTTTGCTTTTGTAAGACACCCTTGAGTGTCCGATGTGCCCGTTCAATGATGCCTTGTCCTTGAGGGTTATATGGAATGCCATGCTTAAGGACAACATCCATTTGTTGACAGAATGTTACAAAAGTTTTGCTGGTGTAAGCAGGACCATTGTCTGTTTTTAATATATTGGGCTTTCCCCAAGCAGCCCAGGCTGCAAGACAATGATTAATAGCATGGGTGGCCCTTTCTCCCTTTCCAGCCAGCCGTCTCCAGGCCTGGAGGCCACAGCGGCTAATTTGTTCATAAACCTGGCGAGGGTATTGAGTTTGATCTTCCTCAAAGGTTCCTCGCCCTAATAGCATATCCCTGTTCCACTCTCTCTGGTTATTTTCCCTGTTGGCTGCCGCCTGCTCTACACAGAATCCGGGGGAGAGGCAGGCGCGTGCCAGCTGGGTCCAATCTCCAGGAGTTAAAAGCAGACCTGCCAATGCCTCTAAAAGCGCCATGGTAAATGGCGCATTGGGCCCATAAGCTGAAACTGCGTCCTTGATAGCTTTAAGTTGTTTAATTTCTAAGGGCTCATAATATCCTCCTCCTCCCCTGCCTCCTACTTGTACCGGGAATGCATGGAGACCGGAACACTCAAAGGGAAGCCGCGACCATACCCTCTGGTGGAAGGAACGTCCTCCTCCCTCCCCAGATGGGGGCACAGAAGGCAACCCAGGAAGTAGCTCTCCCTCTAACCAGGGCGGTGCCATAGGTTGTGGTGGCAGCCCAGGGAGCAACTCCTCTTCCGGCCACGGCGGTGCAGTGGGGCCTGGAGCCCTGAAGGGAGCGACCATGGGTCGCGAACTTGCCAAAGGGCGGAAGGGCTTAGTGGGGCCTGGCGCCCTGAAGGGGGTGATCGTGGGTGTTTGGTTCCCCTTTTTATCTTCCCGAGCCCTGAATTCCTCTTTAAGCTGTGCAGGAGGGTCCTGTTTAGCGAAGACAACCTCCTCTTCTGAACCTTCCGAATCAGAATCAGAATTAGAGCCCTGAGGGTCCTCCGGAGACCCACAATCGGCAGTGGCTCCGGGCTCCTCTGAGCATTCCGATCGAGCTCTATCAAAAGCCTGTCGGGCTGTATTAGCGAAGCGAAAGCAAAACAGATGCAAAGGGAAAAGAAAAGAAAAAAAAAAAACCAGCGTCCACTCGTGTGGCGCTCAAAATCTGTTAGGTGCGTCCACCCAACCCAGGTGACCCAGTACTCACCTGTCCCGGGAACCGCTGTATCTCACGTAGCTGATCAGGGTGAAGAGAAGAGGCGCTCGCGGCCTTCCGTTGTTATTGGGCCAGGTCCTCCGTCGTACCGCAGGCGACAGCAATCGCACCTCCCGGCCGAAGAGGCACGTCGCTGAGTCTTTTATTCCCCGTACGGGGGCCACCAGATGACCGGAGCCGCGGGAGACAGGAGGCCAGACTCGAGCAGGATCAGCTCTCAAACTTTATTACATACAGCGAACCGGACCTGACAAGGTCCGCCACCCTCAGTGTTGATTCCTCTTCCGCCGTTGGGGGCAGGAACAACCTCTTATAAGGGGAAGCAGTATCCAATCACAGAGAAGTGCGTCTAACAAGCTGATAGGCTAGCGTCACGGGTAACTGGGCAGATATGACAATTTGGCGGGCTTGTTCAGGCCGGGAAGAACCCGGAAGCAGGAAATGGGCGCCATCATAGGCGGCTTCCCACATCTCCCCCTTTTTTATTTATTAAAATAGGATGGTCTGTGGGTCCCTCCAAGGTGTCTATGACCTTGTTGCTGTTAGACACCTAGGAGTGGGCCTACCTTGTAGGCCGAGGCATGAGAGAATGTAGAGGTCTATACCCTGCTGTGCATCACCCTGTTTTGTGCATATCCTTGCGCCAGGACCATGCTCAAGGTGAGTGGTTCATTTTTTCGCAGGGCCAGGCTTTTGTGAACCGAACCTGGATGCATATAGACATTCATTCCTGCCTTCCTCCCAACCTTTGAGGCGGATGGCACTGCAGTACCCTTGGTCTCGCATCTCAATGCCCATAATTTGGCTCCAGGAGGGACCCCTGGCCTTACAGGCCATGTATATCTGAGTGGAGCCTGTCTTAGGTTGACCGGGAGGGCTTTTCCCGTCTTACCCGTCATTGGCTTGCCCACTCAGCTCTTATAGCTGATGTTCTGCAATGTGAAGGAGATATGCGGCGGCCTGCTGGCCTGATGGGCCACCTGCTGCCATTTGCATGGCTGCCATAGCTGTGATCTTAACCTGCTGCTGAGTTTGTATGAGGCGATCTAACAAGCATTTAATAACCACAAGCCCTACTAGGATAGCCATGGCAATTAGGATCCAAAAAGAGGTAATCGTGGGACAGAAGGAAGAGAAATGGAGGGTCGACCGGAGTTAAGCGGGTGGGTCATAATCAAGGACTGTTTGATTGATGGTGTAAACCCTGGGTGAGGCGGGCGAGGCCGCCGAAAAAGGTGCCAATGTGGGCAGGTGGTGCCAAGGACCCCAAAGATATTGTGGTGGTTCTGTGGAATCTGAGCATATCACAGGGGTGATTAATAGGAACCCACAGAATAGAAAAAGCTCCAAACCAGACATTTTAGTTTGTAGATGGTCTCGGGCGCTGAGCGTCGGTCCCAGAAGGGTCGAGTTGACTTGTGTCCGCGGGCTTATCTTCCTGTGCTTTATCAGGAACTGGTGGGGAGTTTACTGCTCGCGTCAATCTTTCCGGGACCCACAGCGGTTCGCAGCCTGGTTCCTGTGGGAAGACACAAACCACACCTCGGGTCCAACTAACCACTGGATCCGGGCCCATCCATTGTCCTGTAAGGACATCTTTCCATCTCACCAGCCCTTTGTCGGCCGGGGACGGGTTATTGTGCTCCATGGCAGGGGAATGATATGGTAAAGAGTGCCAATGATATTCTTCCTTTGGGCGTTAGGCCGTGGCCTATCCCCTCTTTTTGCTTTTGTAAGACACCCTTGAGTGTCCGATGTGCCCGTTCAATGATGCCTTGTCCTTGAGGGTTATATGGAATGCCATGCTTAAGGACAACATCCATTTGTTGACAGAATGTTACAAAAGTTTTGCTGGTGTAAGCAGGACCATTGTCTGTTTTTAATATATTGGGCTTTCCCCAAGCAGCCCAGGCTGCAAGACAATGATTAATAGCATGGGTGGCCCTTTCTCCCTTTCCAGCCAGCCGTCTCCAGGCCTGGAGGCCACAGCGGCTAATTTGTTCATAAACCTGGCGAGGGTATTGAGTTTGATCTTCCTCAAAGGTTCCTCGCCCTAATAGCATATCCCTGTTCCACTCTCTCTGGTTATTTTCCCTGTTGGCTGCCGCCTGCTCTACACAGAATCCGGGGGAGAGGCAGGCGCGTGCCAGCTGGGTCCAATCTCCAGGAGTTAAAAGCAGACCTGCCAATGCCTCTAAAAGCGCCATGGTAAATGGCGCATTGGGCCCATAAGCTGAAACTACGTCCTTGATAGCTTTAAGTTGTTTAATTTCTAAGGGCTCATAATATCCTCCTCCTCCCCTGCCTCCTACTTGTACCGGGAATGCATGGAGACCGGAACACTCAAAGGGAAGCCTCGACCATACCCTCTGGTGGAAGGAACGTCCTCCTCCCTCCCCAGATGGGGGCGCAGAAGGCAACCCAGGAAGTAGCTCTCCCTCTAACCAGGGCGGTGCCATAGGTTGTGGTGGCAGCCCAGGGAGCAACTCCTCTTCCGGCCACGGCGGTGCAGTGGGGCCTGGAGCCCTGAAGGGAGCGACCATGGGTCGCGAACTTGCCAAAGGGCGGAAGGGCTTAGTGGGGCCTGGCGCCCTGAAGGGGGTGATCGTGGGTGTTTGGTTCCCCTTTTTATCTTCCCGAGCCCTGAATTCCTCTTTAAGCTGTGCAGGAGGGTCCTGTTTAGCGAAGACAACCTCCTCTTCTGAACCTTCCGAATCAGAATCAGAATTAGAGCCCTGAGGGTCCTCCGGAGACCCACAATCGGCAGTGGCTCCGGGCTCCTCTGAGCATTCCGATCGAGCTCTATCAAAAGCCTGTCGGGCTGTATTAGCGAAGCGAAAGCAAAACAGATGCAAAGGGAAAAGAAAAGAAAAAAAAAAAACCAGCGTCCACTCGTGTGGCGCTCAAAATCTGTTAGGTGCGTCCACCCAACCCAGGTGACCCAGTACTCACCTGTCCCGGGAACCGCTGTATCTCACGTAGCTGATCAGGGTGAAGAGAAGAGGCGCTCGCGGCCTTCCGTTGTTATTGGGCCAGGTCCTCCGTCGTACCGCAGGCGACAGCAATCGCACCTCCCGGCCGAAGAGGCACGTCGCTGAGTCTTTTATTCCCCGTACGGGGGCCACCAGATGACCGGAGCCGCGGGAGACAGGAGGCCAGACTCGAGCAGGATCAGCTCTCAAACTTTATTACATACAGCGAACCGGACCTGACAAGGTCCGCCACCCTCAGTGTTGATTCCTCTTCCGCCGTTGGGGGCAGGAACAACCTCTTATAAGGGGAAGCAGTATCCAATCACAGAGAAGTGCGTCTAACAAGCTGATAGGCTAGCGTCACGGGTAACTGGGCAGATATGACAATTTGGCGGGCTTGTTCAGGCCGGGAAGAACCCGGAAGCAGGAAATGGGCGCCATCATAGGCGGCTTCCCACATCTCCCCCTTTTTTATTTATTAAAATAGGATGGTCTGTGGGTCCCTCCAAGGTGTCTATGACCTTGTTGCTGTTAGACACCTAGGAGTGGGCCTACCTTGTAGGCCGAGGCATGAGAGAATGTAGAGGTCTATACCCTGCTGTGCATCACCCTGTTTTGTGCATATCCTTGCGCCAGGACCATGCTCAAGGTGAGTGGTTCATTTTTTCGCAGGGCCAGGCTTTTGTGAACCGAACCTGGATGCATATAGACATTCATTCCTGCCTTCCTCCCAACCTTTGAGGCGGATGGCACTGCAGTACCCTTGGTCTCGCATCTCAATGCCCATAATTTGGCTCCAGGAGGGACCCCTGGCCTTACAGGCCATGTATATCTGAGTGGAGCCTGTCTTAGGTTGACCGGGAGGGCTTTTCCCGTCTTACCCGTCATTGGCTTGCCCACTCAGCTCTTATAGCTGATGTTCTGCAATGTGAAGGAGATATGCGGCGGCCTGCTGGCCTGATGGGCCACCTGCTGCCATTTGCATGGCTGCCATAGCTGTGATCTTAACCTGCTGCTGAGTTTGTATGAGGCGATCTAACAAGCATTTAATAACCACAAGCCCTACTAGGATAGCCATGGCAATTAGGATCCAAAAAGAGGTAATCGTGGGACAGAAGGAAGAGAAATGGAGGGTCGACCGGAGTTAAGCGGGTGGGTCATAATCAAGGACTGTTTGATTGATGGTGTAAACCCTGGGTGAGGCGGGCGAGGCCGCCGAAAAAGGTGCCAATGTGGGCAGGTGGTGCCAAGGACCCCAAAGATATTGTGGTGGTTCTGTGGAATCTGAGCATATCACAGGGGTGATTAATAGGAACCCACAGAATAGAAAAAGCTCCAAACCAGACATTTTAGTTTGTAGATGGTCTCGGGCGCTGAGCGTCGGTCCCAGAAGGGTCGAGTTGACTTGTGTCCGCGGGCTTATCTTCCTGTGCTTTATCAGGAACTGGTGGGGAGTTTACTGCTCGCGTCAATCTTTCCGGGACCCACAGCGGTTCGCAGCCTGGTTCCTGTGGGAAGACACAAACCACACCTCGGGTCCAACTAACCACTGGATCCGGGCCCATCCATTGTCCTGTAAGGACATCTTTCCATCTCACCAGCCCTTTGTCGGCCGGGGACGGGTTATTGTGCTCCATGGCAGGGGAATGATATGGTAAAGAGTGCCAATGATATTCTTCCTTTGGGCGTTAGGCCGTGGCCTATCCCCTCTTTTTGCTTTTGTAAGACACCCTTGAGTGTCCGATGTGCCCGTTCAATGATGCCTTGTCCTTGAGGGTTATATGGAATGCCATGCTTAAGGACAACATCCATTTGTTGACAGAATGTTACAAAAGTTTTGCTGGTGTAAGCAGGACCATTGTCTGTTTTTAATATATTGGGCTTTCCCCAAGCAGCCCAGGCTGCAAGACAATGATTAATAGCATGGGTGGCCCTTTCTCCCTTTCCAGCCAGCCGTCTCCAGGCCTGGAGGCCACAGCGGCTAATTTGTTCATAAACCTGGCGAGGGTATTGAGTTTGATCTTCCTCAAAGGTTCCTCGCCCTAATAGCATATCCCTGTTCCACTCTCTCTGGTTATTTTCCCTGTTGGCTGCCGCCTGCTCTACACAGAATCCGGGGGAGAGGCAGGCGCGTGCCAGCTGGGTCCAATCTCCAGGAGTTAAAAGCAGACCTGCCAATGCCTCTAAAAGCGCCATGGTAAATGGCGCATTGGGCCCATAAGCTGAAACTGCGTCCTTGATAGCTTTAAGTTGTTTAATTTCTAAGGGCTCATAATATCCTCCTCCTCCCCTGCCTCCTACTTGTACCGGGAATGCATGGAGACCGGAACACTCAAAGGGAAGCCGCGACCATACCCTCTGGTGGAAGGAACGTCCTCCTCCCTCCCCAGATGGGGGCACAGAAGGCAACCCAGGAAGTAGCTCTCCCTCTAACCAGGGCGGTGCCATAGGTTGTGGTGGCAGCCCAGGGAGCAACTCCTCTTCCGGCCACGGCGGTGCAGTGGGGCCTGGAGCCCTGAAGGGAGCGACCATGGGTCGCGAACTTGCCAAAGGGCGGAAGGGCTTAGTGGGGCCTGGCGCCCTGAAGGGGGTGATCGTGGGTGTTTGGTTCCCCTTTTTATCTTCCCGAGCCCTGAATTCCTCTTTAAGCTGTGCAGGAGGGTCCTGTTTAGCGAAGACAACCTCCTCTTCTGAACCTTCCGAATCAGAATCAGAATTAGAGCCCTGAGGGTCCTCCGGAGACCCACAATCGGCAGTGGCTCCGGGCTCCTCTGAGCATTCCGATCGAGCTCTATCAAAAGCCTGTCGGGCTGTATTAGCGAAGCGAAAGCAAAACAGATGCAAAGGGAAAAGAAAAGAAAAAAAAAAAACCAGCGTCCACTCGTGTGGCGCTCAAAATCTGTTAGGTGCGTCCACCCAACCCAGGTGACCCAGTACTCACCTGTCCCGGGAACCGCTGTATCTCACGTAGCTGATCAGGGTGAAGAGAAGAGGCGCTCGCGGCCTTCCGTTGTTATTGGGCCAGGTCCTCCGTCGTACCGCAGGCGACAGCAATCGCACCTCCCGGCCGAAGAGGCACGTCGCTGAGTCTTTTATTCCCCGTACGGGGGCCACCAGATGACCGGAGCCGCGGGAGACAGGAGGCCAGACTCGAGCAGGATCAGCTCTCAAACTTTATTACATACAGCGAACCGGACCTGACAAGGTCCGCCACCCTCAGTGTTGATTCCTCTTCCGCCGTTGGGGGCAGGAACAACCTCTTATAAGGGGAAGCAGTATCCAATCACAGAGAAGTGCGTCTAACAAGCTGATAGGCTAGCGTCACGGGTAACTGGGCAGATATGACAATTTGGCGGGCTTGTTCAGGCCGGGAAGAACCCGGAAGCAGGAAATGGGCGCCATCATAGGCGGCTTCCCACATCTCCCCCTTTTTTATTTATTAAAATAGGATGGTCTGTGGGTCCCTCCAAGGTGTCTATGACCTTGTTGCTGTTAGACACCTAGGAGTGGGCCTACCTTGTAGGCCGAGGCATGAGAGAATGTAGAGGTCTATACCCTGCTGTGCATCACCCTGTTTTGTGCATATCCTTGCGCCAGGACCATGCTCAAGGTGAGTGGTTCATTTTTTCGCAGGGCCAGGCTTTTGTGAACCGAACCTGGATGCATATAGACATTCATTCCTGCCTTCCTCCCAACCTTTGAGGCGGATGGCACTGCAGTACCCTTGGTCTCGCATCTCAATGCCCATAATTTGACTCCAGGAGGGACCCCTGGCCTTACAGGCCATGTATATCTGAGTGGAGCCTGTCTTAGGTTGACCGGGAGGGCTTTTCCCGTCTTACCCGTCATTGGCTTGCCCACTCAGCTCTTATAGCTGATGTTCTGCAATGTGAAGGAGATATGCGGCGGCCTGCTGGCCTGATGGGCCACCTGCTGCCATTTGCATGGCTGCCATAGCTGTGATCTTAACCTGCTGCTGAGTTTGTATGAGGCGATCTAACAAGCATTTAATAACCACAAGCCCTACTAGGATAGCCATGGCAATTAGGATCCAAAAAGAGGTAATCGTGGGACAGAAGGAAGAGAAATGGAGGGTCGACCGGAGTTAAGCGGGTGGGTCATAATCAAGGACTGTTTGATTGATGGTGTAAACCCTGGGTGAGGCGGGCGAGGCCGCCGAAAAAGGTGCCAATGTGGGCAGGTGGTGCCAAGGACCCCAAAGATATTGTGGTGGTTCTGTGGAATCTGAGCATATCACAGGGGTGATTAATAGGAACCCACAGAATAGAAAAAGCTCCAAACCAGACATTTTAGTTTGTAGATGGTCTCGGGCGCTGAGCGTCGGTCCCAGAAGGGTCGAGTTGACTTGTGTCCGCGGGCTTATCTTCCTGTGCTTTATCAGGAACTGGTGGGGAGTTTACTGCTCGCGTCAATCTTTCCGGGACCCACAGCGGTTCGCAGCCTGGTTCCTGTGGGAAGACACAAACCACACCTCGGGTCCAACTAACCACTGGATCCGGGCCCATCCATTGTCCTGTAAGGACATCTTTCCATCTCACCAGCCCTTTGTCGGCCGGGGACGGGTTATTGTGCTCCATGGCAGGGGAATGATATGGTAAAGAGTGCCAATGATATTCTTCCTTTGGGCGTTAGGCCGTGGCCTATCCCCTCTTTTTGCTTTTGTAAGACACCCTTGAGTGTCCGATGTGCCCGTTCAATGATGCCTTGTCCTTGAGGGTTATATGGAATGCCATGCTTAAGGACAACATCCATTTGTTGACAGAATGTTACAAAAGTTTTGCTGGTGTAAGCAGGACCATTGTCTGTTTTTAATATATTGGGCTTTCCCCAAGCAGCCCAGGCTGCAAGACAATGATTAATAGCATGGGTGGCCCTTTCTCCCTTTCCAGCCAGCCGTCTCCAGGCCTGGAGGCCACAGCGGCTAATTTGTTCATAAACCTGGCGAGGGTATTGAGTTTGATCTTCCTCAAAGGTTCCTCGCCCTAATAGCATATCCCTGTTCCACTCTCTCTGGTTATTTTCCCTGTTGGCTGCCGCCTGCTCTACACAGAATCCGGGGGAGAGGCAGGCGCGTGCCAGCTGGGTCCAATCTCCAGGAGTTAAAAGCAGACCTGCCAATGCCTCTAAAAGCGCCATGGTAAATGGCGCATTGGGCCCATAAGCTGAAACTGCGTCCTTGATAGCTTTAAGTTGTTTAATTTCTAAGGGCTCATAATATCCTCCTCCTCCCCTGCCTCCTACTTGTACCGGGAATGCATGGAGACCGGAACACTCAAAGGGAAGCCGCGACCATACCCTCTGGTGGAAGGAACGTCCTCCTCCCTCCCCAGATGGGGGCGCAGAAGGCAACCCAGGAAGTAGCTCTCCCTCTAACCAGGGCGGTGCCATAGGTTGTGGTGGCAGCCCAGGGAGCAACTCCTCTTCCGGCCACGGCGGTGCAGTGGGGCCTGGAGCCCTGAAGGGAGCGACCATGGGTCGCGAACTTGCCAAAGGGCGGAAGGGCTTAGTGGGGCCTGGCGCCCTGAAGGGGGTGATCGTGGGTGTTTGGTTCCCCTTTTTATCTTCCCGAGCCCTGAATTCCTCTTTAAGCTGTGCAGGAGGGTCCTGTTTAGCGAAGACAACCTCCTCTTCTGAACCTTCCGAATCAGAATCAGAATTAGAGCCCTGAGGGTCCTCCGGAGACCCACAATCGGCAGTGGCTCCGGGCTCCTCTGAGCATTCCGATCGAGCTCTATCAAAAGCCTGTCGGGCTGTATTAGCGAAGCGAAAGCAAAACAGATGCAAAGGGAAAAGAAAAGAAAAAAAAAAAAAACCAGCGTCCACTCGTGTGGCGCTCAAAATCTGTTAGGTGCGTCCACCCAACCCAGGTGACCCAGTACTCACCTGTCCCGGGAACCGCTGTATCTCACGTAGCTGATCAGGGTGAAGAGAAGAGGCGCTCGCGGCCTTCCGTTGTTATTGGGCCAGGTCCTCCGTCGTACCGCAGGCGACAGCAATCGCACCTCCCGGCCGAAGAGGCACGTCGCTGAGTCTTTTATTCCCCGTACGGGGGCCACCAGATGACCGGAGCCGCGGGAGACAGGAGGCCAGACTCGAGCAGGATCAGCTCTCAAACTTTATTACATACAGCGAACCGGACCTGACAAGGTCCGCCACCCTCAGTGTTGATTCCTCTTCCGCCGTTGGGGGCAGGAACAACCTCTTATAAGGGGAAGCAGTATCCAATCACAGAGAAGTGCGTCTAACAAGCTGATAGGCTAGCGTCACGGGTAACTGGGCAGATATGACAATTTGGCGGGCTTGTTCAGGCCGGGAAGAACCCGGAAGCAGGAAATGGGCGCCATCATAGGCGGCTTCCCACAACCTCACTTTATGAAGGGAAACCCCTATTACAGTAAAGACAGACCTTTTTTTGAAGGGTAAATAATATATGATGTTCTCTATTTTGCATGCCTCATAGATGTTTTATTTTCTTAGCCTCCTCCCTGTCTGACAATTGACAGTTGTCCTAAATACCTAACCTCACACAGAGGCAGAAAGTTTGTGCTACATCTTAGAGAATCTCCACGTAGAGCTATTTTTAAACATGTATTGAGTATATACACATTTAAGCTTCTCATATGTGCCTATCATCCTACTTCAGGCTGAATCTACTGCAAAGATAAATAAGATCACTATTTTCTGTCCCCAGAGAGCTGCGAGGCTCAGCAGTCCAGATGCTGTATTTCTCTGAGAGGGGACAAACCGTTCAGGCTTTGTGGGCTGAACAGTCCTGTTGCCCAGCCTTCCTTGCTGCTTGGTTACGGTACTCTAAAAGCTACAAACTATTTTCCCCCTTCTGAGTGATACGAATCAGCCCTGCCCACCCTTAGTGGTTCACAGGTATTTATTATCATGCCTCAGACTGATCTGTTGAAAGCAGATCCCTGAAGTTATTCTGCAGAGTTCTTGGTTCAATCTATAAGCACCAGGACCTGAGAGTGGACATTTCCAGTGAGCTCACTGGTGATCCCGAGGCTGCTGTTCCTGGAACTTTATTTAGTCACCACAGCCTCTTAGAATCCCCCAGGGAATTAAAACAACAATCAAAACAAAGCCTACAAAATTATATCCAGCCTTCCTCCCAGAGCATAAGGGTAACTTCTATGTTTTCAGAAGGTTTATATCTAGGTCCCATCCCTTGTGCTTTGGGTGTGGGCATGCGCACACGTACACACACTATGCTATACATCTCATTGAATGTGATATGTAATCAGTACTGGACACAAGTTCTTGTTCCAGCTCCTCCTTCCCCTAAAAGGTAGGAAACCCTTTCCCTGAGGACTCAGCCCTTGGTAGGATCATGATTTTAAGCTATGTGCACTCACTTTAATTCTATTTTTATTTCCTTCCATACACAGGAGTCTCCACTAAGCAAAACCTCAGGGTCCTCTGGAGAAACAAAGCAGTTGTTGCACTGCGTATTTGAAGACTGTGATTATGAAAAGGAACCCAGACCTAAAGAAAAGTAAAGTATTCAGTATAAAAATCCTGTGGGCGGGGCTGGGGATTTAGCTCAGTTGCAAGCAGGCGGTCTTGAGTTCCATCCCCGGTACCAATAAAAATGAAAAAGACAAAAAAAAAAAAATCCTCTGGGCAACATGTTTGAGATCTACTTTGTATTTGTTTGAAGTGGATTTAGGCACCAAGGACATGGCGGAGGGGAGAGATTAGTACAGTACAGACCAAAGCGAAGAGAGGGAAGCAGATGCAGGCTCAGTGGAGGGGAAACGCGCATGGTCCAGACACCTGTAGGTCCCGCAAGAAATGGGATAGGATGATAATCCTTTGATGGAGAAAGACCCAGCACCTTAGATGCCCACTATGGGGATCAGGGACCCCCCCCCCCCAAGACGATCAGCATGGATGCATGTCCAACTGGATGGGCAGAGAGAGAGAGAGACAGACAGACAGACAGACAGAGACAGAGAGACAGAGATTGCCAAACCAGGGCATTTGTGTAGTTCCTGTGTAATTCTGCTTAGGGTTAGTGACTCTTCTGGACTCATTTTCAGGACAGTGGAAATGATTTGAGAAGATTCTCTGCTACTTTTGCTTTTTGACACCAGCCTGGGAAGTGTTTCAGGAATGGCCAAGGTCAGGAACGCTTTGGGCCTCCTCAGGCCGCTGTTCCAAGTAGCCCGAGTGGGAGGAGAGCACAAAGGGGCAGAATAGGGGAAGGAAGCCCTCAGGAGGAGGCTGAAGGGGAGGGGGGGGGAGGGAAAAAGAAGGGGGAAGGGTAGGAGGAAGAAGGGGAAGAGAACGGGAGGGTGAGGGGAGGGGGAAAAGGGAAGGAGGCGGGAGGGGAAGGGAGAGACTAGGGTGGGGAGGAGTAAACGGGACCAGGCGGCTGCGGGGCGCTCCAGACAGGGAGATGCGGACCAGAACCCAGGGCTTCCGGCGCTCCGCGGTCCGCGGCCCCTCTGAGCCAAGCTGGGGACTGGCACGGACCCTGCCTGCCCAGGCCCGGGCCTCTCTGAAGGCGGATGCTCAGCGGTGGCTGGGTGGGGCCTTCTACGGCCCGCCCCCCCCCCCATTCCCTACCCCCATCCCTGTCCCCTGACCCCACGTGGGCGGCTGGGCTTAGCACCGAGCCGCGGGACGCCCGGACTAGGACTGCGGCCGCCTGTGGACCTGGTGGGCCTTGGGGCCTCCCTGGAGGACAGCAGGAAGTGGACCCTGGGCTCTCTCTTCCTCCTTCCAGGCCTTCTGGCTTGCCCAGGAGGAGCCCAGCATGGTGGTCTTCACTGTCTAGGACCTGAGCTAGGTTAACATGAAGGGTGGGCTTGCATGTGTGAGTGTGTGCTTTGGTGTGCGTTTGTGTGAGTGCCTAATGGGTTGGGGTGGAAGGGGCCACTCACACCTGCGTTCAGAGGGCTGCATGGGGGTTGTGTGTTTTGGGGGGTTGGCTGCGTGGGACTGAGCAAAAAGTCTGGCCAAGGTTTGGCCCTGGACACTTGTTCCTTGTGCAGGGAGTGAAATCAATGCCCTTAAATTGAGGAAAACTCCACTGGCCAACTTTTGGGGAACTTTCTGGGCCGTGAAACTGATGATGGATGCTTCAGAACAGGAAGAAATGGCGCTTGCTACTGTCTCTAGCTGAGGCAGCAGATCTTTTCAGGATGGAATGTAAACAGGATATTTTGGGTCAAGGCTCCTGGTTTATGGTCTGTGACCCACCAGATCCATGGTCAGAATCTCATGGCCACTTTATTATTTGATAGGTGCTGAAAGGGCTGTGAGACAAACCTTTCCAGAGTGAGGCCTCATCTCTTCCTCTGGATTTTCCGATGGCACTTCTTGGGTGAAGTAGAATTTCTTACTGCCCTTTCATCTTGATAAGCAGAGCGCCCGTTTGCTGGCAGCGCGCACACAGTGTGGTGGACCTGCTGGCCCAACGCATGGCTCTCAGATATCAACTGCATGTCAGAATCACCTGGATGTATTGCTAGAACAGTGTGGGCCTTCTCTCCTGTCCTAGGACTGATTGTTCATCAGTGCTGCACCAGCATCAGGACCACCTTTGGAGGTTTAAAACTAGATCACAACAAACCACCCCCACCCCCACCAAAAACATGCAAAGATGCATGCCCAGACTCCCCTGTCAGATATTCTTCTGTCAATAGCGGGTCTGGGAAGGTCTTGGCCACTGATTAAAATCATCTTTGAGTAGGTTGGGTTTAGCTCAGTGGCACAAACGCCTGCCTGGTAAGTGCAAGGTTATGAGTTCCATCCCAGGTCCCCAAAACAAAACAAATCATCTTTGTTGTCATCCTCAGGTGAGTTTAGTCTGCGCCGGGGCTGAGAACCATGCCACAGTATGGCCAGTGGTTGCCATTATGACCACCTGCTCTGTTTCAGTATGTGTTCAGTAGGAACACTAATTGGATACGTAGAGGGGTCAGTAGGCACATACCCTACCAGTTGTGGGATAGTTGATGAGTAGTTTGATGTGCTTATCGGGAAAAGACAAAGGGGACAGATTCAGTTCATTTGGGGAGTGTTATGGGTTGAAAACTGGAGGTCAACTTAACGCCAGCTGGATTACATCAGCATGCACTGAGCAAAGATGCTCCACCTGAGGAGGGTAACCAGGATAAATAGGTGGAAAAGAAGGGGGCTGTTGAGGAGGGTTGAGGCATTAAAGAGGCATTGTGGGTTCTCCTATGAGTTGCTCTCTGAGCTGTTGGTTCTCTTGGAGAAGCTTTGGCCTTCACATCGAGCATTGCTTCCTGGCTCCGGAGGGGAAGACATGTGCTGCTTGGTCCCCAGGAAGAACTCATCACGCTGCTTCCTGGCATGTACCCGACTGTGCTTGTCGTAGGAGGAGCTTGGGGCCTCCGTGTCACTGAGGACAGCTGTGGTGCCTTTCAGGATAGCCCCGCTCTTTGTTGTGAGTGTGACTTCTCAGCTCCAGTGTAGAACCCTCATCCCACTAGCATAGTTCTTTCATCCTGCTGGCATAGACTTTCTGGCTTCCACCGCAGACCGTTGGGTCTTCCCGGCACAGATCTGTAAAAGAGACTGGCGTGAGTCCTTCTTGTGGGCTCTGGACTTCCAGTTGGACTCATGGAGGCATTGTCCTGATCTCTGGGTTTTTATCTGGACTCATATGGGACATTGCCGTGGGGTTTAGGCTCTTGACTAAATAATCTATGTCTTTGGTGTTGTGGATAGATTTCCTGCATTCTCCTGTGTTAACTTCCGGTGACCATTATAAAAATATTATAAACTCCATGTCCTAATCCTAGTTGTTCTCTGTGTACAACCCCTGACTACAACAGGGAGACATTCCGAAAAGAAGGAGGTCAGGTCTGCAGGCACATGATT